CCAATAGAGACTTGGGAGTCAGATGTTGGGGTGAAAACCTGTTAGCTCAGAGAGGCTGGGAAGCAACCAGCTGACTTTTGTTTTTGACTGGAGACCCAGCAAGAGAGTGTCCCTCCAGCCATCCCAAACCAAAAAGACCGCCCAAACTCCAAGTCTCCCTACTCTTCCCTATGCATCTCTCTATTGGTCTTCCTGTCAACTCTGTCCTCTCTCTGACTAATTCCTGTTAGTTGCTGGCTCTGCCCCCTGATCCAAGGTTGATTTTATTAACACAGTCTCAGGTTTCACAGTGCAATCAGATATCACGTAATACCCTAGTGCTGGAGATTGAACCCAGGGCCGTGTACATGCTAGACAAGTGCTCCGCTGCTGACCTAACATCTCCAGCCCTTGCATTTGAATGTCTTCTTTTTTTTTTTAAACATAATTTTTTTCCTTTGGGAATTTCACATCATGCACCCCAGTCTCTCTCATTTCCCAGTCCCTCCATAGCTACCCTTTACCCTTGTAGCATTTTCCTGACAAAGGAAAACTTAAAAGGAAATAATAAAAAAGCAAATAAAAATATTAATTAAAAACAAATAAGCAACAAACAACCCCCAAACCAAACCAAAAGCCAAACAAACAAACAAACAAACAAACAAATACTCTTCAATCCTCTATCTTTCCCACATCTCCATGGCCTCTTCATCATTTTTGTGGCATTGGGAGTTGCTGTGTACCATCCAGTATACTCTTTTGTCCAAACAGCTTTTCTTGTAAATGTTTATTGGGTGATGTATTGCCAGTTAGTGTCTTAGGGTTTTCATTGCTGTGAAGAGACACCATGACCATGGAAACTCTTATAAAGAAACATTTAATTGGGTGGAAGGCTCACGTACAGTTTCAGAGGTTCAGTCCATTATCACCATGAAGGAGAGCATGGTAGCATGCAGGAAGATGTGGTGCTGGTAGCTGAGAGTCCTACATCTTGCAGTCAACAGGAAAGTTGACTGACTGTCACACTGAGGGAAGCTTCAGAAAAAGAAACTTCAAAGCCCACCCCCACAGTGACACACTTCCTCCAACAAAAGCCATACCTCCTAATAGTGCCACTCCCTTTGGGGGCCATTTTCTTTCAAACCACCACAGTCAGATTCACCATCAATGCTGGACCCTTGCTGAGACTCCTCTCGGATATCCTGCTATTGTCCTGAGTCATGGAGACCCTGAGGTTATGGTTCCAAAGGCCCAGTCCCTTCATGAGCTCCAGCAGGTCATAGATGGGGTAGATGTTGGGGAGCGTTAACTCAAAGCCCTGGATATATGCCTGGGTGGTAGCAGAATTGGTCAATTCAGGCTGCTGGAACCACCCCCTCAGGTGAGGGGTGGAGCCAACTCTCCAATGCCCATGGTGAGGGGTGGAGCCAGCTTTCTCAAGTGTGTGTGTGTAGGCAGCTCTCCTGTGCCAAGGTCTGATATCCCATGGCAGGTGATGGGTGGAGTCAGCTCAGCACAATCCTCATACTTCAACACCTGGTCCAACACATGGTTTGAACGAGTCCCTGTGGTAGCATGGGCAATGGACATCAACACAGACCCCAGCTGCAGCAAGACTACAGCCCCAGACATGGCTATTAGTAGCAGCTTTGGCCCAGATTTCACTAAAGCAATGGGTGGCAGCACAGGCCACTTAGATTGGTGTTCTGTGGCAGTGGCTCATCCCTCAGACCCCAACATGGCCACAAGTGGTAGCCCAGAACCTGAACATCCTTGTAGCCTTTGGTGGCAACATGGGCCAAGGACATCAATATAGACCCTGGCTGTGGTAGGACCATGAACCCAGACATGGTCTTTGACAGTAGCCTGGGCCTGAATGTCACCATGGCCCCAGGAGGCAGTGCAGGCCACTCAGATCAGCATCACCCTGCTGCATGGTGGCCCTAGGACACCAACTTGGCCCCAGGTGGTGGCCCAGGCCCAGACATCTGCACAGTCTTCAAGGGTAACATGCAGCATGGATATCAACACAGACCCTGGCTGTGGCAGGGTCACATACCCATACATGATCCTATACTGCAGCTTGGCCCAGATGTCACCACAGCCCTGGGTGGCAGTGCAGGCCACTCAGATCAGGATGGCCCCTCCAGTGGCATGGGCCTCAGACATCAGTGTAGCCACATGTGGCAGCACAGACCCCAGGTATTTGCATGGTCTTTGGTGCTAACAGGAGCCACTGACATCGACACAGACTAGCTACAGCAGGGCCACGGACAGAGCCACCCAGACATGGCTCTTGGTAGCAGCCCACGCCTGGACATCATCATGGTTCTGGGGGCAATCGGGTAACCCACATCAACCCATTCCTCATAGCCTTTGCCTCTTTAGATCTGCCTCTTTCCACAGGACATGAACAATTCTTCTTCTCTCTCTTTCCCATGACCCACCATATATTTGCTCACCTGGTTGAGCAGACCCTTGATTTCTTATCCCTACCCAGGGCAAGTGGCCCTAGGTGTGTGTGTGTGTGTGTGTGTGTGTGTGTGTGTGTGTGTGTGTGTGTGTGTGTGTCCTTCACCTGCCCAGTCCTAATGGTGCCAGGCAGGCTCATGGTTTCTTCTCCCCAGCCAGGGCAAGCAGATTCAGAAGGGCGTGTGAAATGTCTTCTTATAATAAATATCTATTTAGATAATTTCAAACCCATTGTTTCTTTGCTGTTTAGTTTTTTTTGTTTCTTCATGGATTATGAATATTACTTTCTTCTTGGGTGAATAGTTGGCAAGTATGTTCTTAAATTCCTCAGATTGGCTCTTCAATTTGTCAAGACATGCTATAAAGAAGCTGATGAGCCTGAGGGAATGTTGTTTTCCAGTTTTTGCTTTTGTTGCTCATGCTTTTGGGGTCATATAGTCTGAAAAAAAGCCTCTAGTTCGACTATGTACTGAAGCCCTTCCTCTGTGTTTAATTCTAGTAGTTTAATATTTTTAGGTCTGATATCTAAATTAATTTCTTATTGGTTTTTGAAAAAAGATGAAAATAGACCTCCTTAAATTACTGCATACATTATTATTCATAGATCAATGAGTTCTGTATTCTGAAAAAGTATCTCTGGATGATTTTGTTATTGTGTGAACACCATAGTGTATTATATTATGTATAATACGATGTATAAAATGGCTACAAAATCAGGTTAACATAGTCTTTGGGCCCACTGATTCTTCATTGACCAAAACAGCGTCATGTAGCCCATGACTATAATGATTATATCATTTCCCTTCTTAAGAACTCCCAATGTCATTCCATGTTACTTGATTTTTAATTCTATTTTCCCATTTTAAACTCTTTGTACTACTACCTGAAATTATTTCTTGTTGACTTGTTTTCTACTATCTACTACAGTCAAACATGCTGAGAAGTGGTTCCTCTTCTGACTTCCTTGTTTTTACTGCTGGACTTACTACTCAGAATTGGACTGTGCTGTGTTAGATACTCCAAGACCGCCTACAAGTTGAATTGAACCAATTTTTTTTTTTAAAGATTTATTTATTTCGTATACAGCATGTATGACTGCTGGCCAGAAGAGGGCACCAGATCACGTTACAGATGGTTGTGAGCCACCATGTGGTTGCTGGGAATTGAACTCAGGACCTCTGGAAGAGCAGTCAGTGCTCTTAACCTCTGAGCCATCCCTCCAGCCCGAATTGAACCAATTTTTAAGTGAGATTAGTTTAGTTATAGGTTCCTGAAAATGAAATAGTTTATAGTTCTTGAATTAAAAAACATTTCTAACAAAAAATTCAGTTTCTTTGTTTCCCTACTCATCCATCATCCTGGCAAAATCAGTTCTTTGAGGGATGCTAGTTTGAGAACCTCTGTTTTCATACTCAGTATTAGCTAGAGGTTACCCACACTTCCCTGCTTTATGGTTTTTCCACATGACAGCTTGTGGAAAATCGTTTCATAAGATCAGGTACACAAGAGGAGTCAGACAGAAAGTGAGAATACAAGTAAGATGGAAGTTACAGCTTTTGTTGTCTCATCTAAATCTCTACAATAAGACGTTGTCTTATTCTGTTCACTAGAAACAAATCACCATGTCCAGCCCATGCACATGGAAGAAGGGATTACATAGGATGGGATTACAGCAGGGAAGGCCATTAGAGATATTTTTAGGAGCTGTATTCTTTCCACTCCTTTCATGCTGTTATAAACTTTTTATTGAGTAAGTGTTTAATACTAGGAATTACATAACATAGTTCAAGGAAGTGTCAGCAAACCTTATTGATTATTAGAATTATTCAAAGAAGCTCTTACAGATTATCTGAGTCTCACCTTTGATAGTCTAATTTGGAAAATCTGGAAACTATACTCAATTGGTAACCATGAGAATGAAAACTTGATTTAAAAAGACTTATTTATCTGGGAAGGAAAATGTCACATTACTACAAGCAGAAAACTACCACCCAGAAGAGGCTCTAGCTCTTGCTGCTGTCAATATCTCAGGAGAGCTCTACTTTCGATTAGGGCTATGCCCTGTACTGGAAGGACACATCCAATGAGACATATAGATGAATGTTTTGGAAAATATTTCTTTCTGGATTACATTGAAACCATTTCTAATCATTCAAAAATCATACATTTGTAGTTTTACTTGCAAGGAGGCTACATTCCCTAACTAATCCTATAACTCCAGGATACATGATGGAGAGATAAAAGTTTTCAGTGAAAAATCTATAGTGAATTCTATTTCAGAGTATTAGGAGGTAAGGCATCATGTTATTTATAGAGTCTTCAGGGTTTTGTGTCAACACAAAGCTGATGGCTACTAGTCTTCAGTTACTTAACATCTTTTCAATTGATGGTGCTCTGCTCTGGTGATTATAAATGGTGGAAGTCTAAAACTAATGGAGTTCTCAAAGCAGTGCATAGAAAGTTCTTGTTATTTTAGCCTTGCCTCACATGTCCAGCTGCACATGAGCTTTGACCTGTCCAGAGCATATTGTCTTCCTTTTCTCTTCCAGACACCATCATTCTTGTTGCTAAAGGTGAAGCAGAACTGAATGAAATTCATAGTGCCTGAGGATTTTCAAAGAAGTTTTTCAGTTCAGGAACTGGTAAGTGATAGACTCAGTCTGGTAGGGCATTTGTTTGTTGCCTCTTATAATCTGGATCCTTTTTCTTATAAACAAATTCCTTTGGGAAAATAAAAAGTATAAAATAAAACCTCATGGTAATGCCCCAGAAGCTGGCATTCTGTTAGCTGTTAAACTCTGTTCTCAAGATTTATGGGCAACTGCTGATTGTAATTAATAGCAAACATTCAGAAGGTGAACTAAATGACGCGGAGCTCTCACTGTTGCTATTTATTATGTATGTATTTATGACTATGGTTTCAGGGAGACTTTAGACCAATAAATTTAATGCATCATCTTAAAGAATGAAAGAATCCCACTGGCTGAAATATGCAAAACATTTGGCTGGGCAACTCCAATTTTGCTCTAAGAACAAATGCTGGATGCTTTTGAGTAGTTGAAGAAGACTGTATTAGGAGACTCCTTTATGGTAGCAGAACTTAGAGAACAAATCTTTCTCTTTATATAAAGGGGATATTAGAATGACTTATAGGTTGTGGTCCAACAATGGCTGGTGGTGAATGGAAAGTCCAAAAACACAGTAGTTCACTCTATAAGGCAGGATGTGTTCACTGGTCTTTAGTATACCTGGAAATACTGAGGGTGTAGGTTCTAATGACAGTGAAGGAATGGATTTGTTAGCAAGGTGAGAGCAATCAAGCAAAGAGAAAAAGCTTCCTTTTTCTATGTCCTTATGGAGGCTTAGAGGAGAAGGTATGGCCCAGATTAAAGGTGTGTCTTCCCCCACCTCAAGATCTGGATTAAAGGCATGTGTCTTTCTACCTCAGAGATCTAGATTAGAAGTGGATCTACCTACTTCAAATTAAGCAAAAATCAATCATAGATGTGCCCTCCATTTTTGGATTTTAGTTAATTTCAGATGTAGTCAAGTTGACAACCAAGAATAGCCATCACAAAGATTGAAATTATTTATCTCCTAAAATGTATTTGTCATTACTGGTCTGGGTTCTGATAACTAGGGAGCAAAGTAGGTATCCCTTTTTTGTTTAAGACAAAATTCCTTTTGCTGTATGTGCTTAGAGTTCTTAAAAGTTTTGTGTATCTATTACAGAAAATGCAGAAAATAGAATTAAAAACTGGCTAAAATATTCTCATACAACAGTCCACACACAGACAGCTATGTGTGCCAACTAGTATGATAGTCATTATTTTTTATTCTTCCAGCTTACAATGTATTACTGTATTTTATTGGCATAGCACCTCATTTTCTATCTTGTTTAGCTACTAGCTCTTTCTGCCTTTTCTTATGGTCTGAATATTCTAAGAACTGAAGTACTTGGAGTAATGAGAAGATATACTGAAGAAAATATAGCTGACTGGCCACTGTGATTGAAGGGGAAAGATTGGGTAGCTGAATGGATTCTGGAAGAATATTGCAAGATGTTAGGCAGCAGCATAGTGCAATGGATAATAGACAAACAAGGTATCTCAGTTTTGGAGAAGGATATGTTTGTTTAGAATTAACTTCGCTGTGCAGTTTCTCAGCAGGTGATTTATATCATGTACATTTGACCACTGTAGAGTTTGAGGAAGTTAGTGTGAGTTGTTGCATACATAGTTTTCGGTGATAGACTCTCTCATGTACAAGTACAGGCTATGCAAATTAGGCACATTTTGTGGTTATCAAAGTTCAGTCCTGGTCAAAAGCTTTGGTCATAGGGCACAGGCCATAGGGTTGCAGCTCTGTCATGACAGATACAAAAGTTTTTGATTTCTGGACAATGTGTGTGTGAAAATTACCTAAAAGAGATCTGCTCCGTATTCTAGTCTTTTATAGTAGTCCTTCTGGTCAGAGCAAAAAAGTTGGTTGGAGATCTGCTCTTGTACCTGCTTCAAGCTGTACAGGGTGACATGCTGGCCCTGCCAACTAAATTGTTTGCTACTCTGGCAGGAGTTCTATTAGGCACCATAAAAAAAGGTAGCCATACTTAGGAAATGGTTTGAATAGAAGGTCCTTGTTGCATTGTCAAGGGGCTTAAGAGAAGTGCATATTACATTAGTAGGTGTTGAAATCTTTGCTGAATCATTATCCAAAGATAGAACTGTTAAACCCTAGAAGACACATTCATGACAAACAAGAATGCAGGGGTCAAGTTGGCACCTGGAAACTTTATCCCTACAGGCCGATTTTAATAGTGCTAGAATGTGCTAAGCATACTATGAAAAGTTATTCATCAATATCGTCCTTCTGTGAGCCCTGGGAGTTACAATAACGCCTGGCCTGACAAGATATGCCCACTAGCGCAATCGTGGCACAAAAGTTATGGGACTTACCTGCCATTTTTGATTGGATCAAAGGCTCATTCCATGAGATGAAACCTATACCTGGCACTCTCAACAGAGACAAGAACTTGTGGCTAGATAGGTCACAGATAGACGAGAGGAGAACCTGTAGCTATTATTCTGCTAAATGGGCATAGTATTAAGGTGACTCTAGTGACTTATTTTTATCTCCATATGTCAGTTCATCTCTCAACCCTCACCAGAGAAGATTAGTCTTGAAGTAGATGGTGATTAACAGAGACTCTCAACTGGTCAATATACAGAGAAAAAGAGATTGCAGAGTGCTCGGCCCTATGGTATGCCTCTATCACAGCCCGACCCCCAAGGTTCAGCAATCTCTACAGAAGAGGGACAGGAAGATTATAAGAGACAGAGAAGGTGGATGACTTTGTGGAAACTGTTTTCTGGACGTAGCAGGGTATAGCTATGATCCCACAGCATACACAATATCTGTGAAAACTCAAGCCAGACACAAAGCAGCGCACAGGAGGTGGGGTGGGTATAAAGTTCCACCCATAGTTGAGGAGCTGTTGGCATTTGATAGCTTCAGGAGAAGGAGAACCAGTTTTCTTTAAGCATGCGACCTCTAGCAGGTTGATCACGCTCCAAGACAGGCCCCAAACCCGAGAGCAGTTGGGGAACACAAACTGAACACTACAGGTTTACAGAAAAGAGAGAGAACTCGAAGTTATGTGGACAGGGAGATGAAGGCAGATCCGGGAGGAGTTGGGGGCAAGGAAAGGGAATGTGATCAAAATACATTATATGGATTTGTCAAAGAATTAATAAAAATATTACTTTAAAAATGCAAAGACCAAATACAAGAAGTAAACAGATAACCCTGAGTAGTTCCAGAAAGTGAGGTTACTAGAAAAATCAAGACCAGACACTTGTCTTAAAACTCCTCCAGTCAAACCCTCCTCTTGTTCCTTGTTCTGAAAATCACTGGCATGTTTGATAATTTGGAGATATTTTTCACTTGTCCTGATTTGTTGACATAAAGCAGCATTCCTTCTTTACAGGTTCCACCTTGAGCAGTGTCCTGAAAATTTAGGGCTCAGTGGTTTTCAATTACAACTACAGGGAGTGAACTTAGTGTCCTGTATTATTCAATGCTTGGGCTATCATCGTTATTTGATTAGTGAGTTCTAGGTAAAGTCTTCGGACAGTATAAAGGAAGAAAGCAGTAGGTCCCATGTGGAGAAAAATGTTTTGACCATGAATGGTCACTCATGGCACCAAATACAACCTGTGTAAAACATAGGAAACATAGCATAATCACCTTCAGTTTTTTTTAATCTAGAAGAGTATGTGTAGTTCATATACACAATGATTTTTTTCTGTTGTATATTTTCTTTGTTAAACCTGTTTGCTGTTTGTATCTAGATTTTTTTTAATCTGTGCTTAACACAAATTATCTATTTTGTATTCCAGTTAGAATATTTTTCATTATACAGTGTAGAGATTAAAACATATGTTTGGAGTAATGATAATTGGGGTTATGTATTGATTCAGTGACCGCAACCCTTATGCTACAGTGGTACTCTTCAGGGATACCATGGGTTTGTAGACGCCAGTGTTGGCCTCTTCTCACAGGTGGGTAGTCTTGATAGAGCTAGGAACCTCAAACATTTTAATTTAATTGATTATTTCGGGTTAATAGTATTATAATGACAGTATGATAAAGGACTCCATGCCTCATTAGATTAATGATATTAAGAAGATCGGTCTAGTTCTTTTGCTTGAAGAAATTTAAACATCTTCAAGAAGTCAATTAAATTATGCTAAGATTAATTAGTTCAAATAATTTGAGACTTCAAAATAGAGGGTAGGAGGGAGAATAAGATAATGATTTTTCACCTTGTACCTCTAAATACTGCCTTAAGCAAGCTGAACAGGTCATGCTGGAAGTAATTGCTGCTGCTGTGGCTAAGAAAGAATTGGCATGTAACCAAGTATTAGAAGGGGCTTCTCTCTTGGCAAACAAAATGCATTGCTTAATCCTGCAGTGACCCTGAAAGCTGGCATCAAAACAGTTGCCTGATTGGCAAATATTGTGAATAACTGAAATGACTTCAATGAGAAATGTCAATTCTTTCCCTAGGAGTGTCTGTGATGCACTTCTGTGGGCAACAGCAGGGTTGGGCTGGGCCAGAAATGGGTGAAGAGAGAACTAGACTGACATCCAGGTCTAAATTCAGCCAATGATTTCAGAGCCAAGGAATGGAGATGAGGGAATTAGTGATTCAATGTGGCCACGAACAAGACAGAAGTCAGTCATCTAGGACAGAGGTGGGAGAGGGATGGGAAATCAGGCCCAGGCGGTGAAGGAGGAAAGATCAGAAATTCAGAAGTTCAAACCTGACAGCATAAGTGAGTGAGTGTAGTAAAACTTGAACTAGAAAATGCATAGTATTTTAGGCTTCTTTTTCTAGTAATGTTGGTCTTGAAGTTTTTATCAAGTAGCTCAAGGGGTCTCAAGAGACACGGCCTTAATTCAGACTTCTGTATGCTCTGCTTACCAGCTGTATACCCTTGGGAAAATGTTAAATGTTTTTGGCATTTAATGTATTCACCCACGAAACAGGGATGTTACTGCACACATTCCATGTCTTCTAAAAGTGTATTTGGTTTGGGGTAGGTTTGCCTGTACATTTAAGATGTGAGTATTTTCTGAC